GGGACATTTAGCTGTAGTGTTGGGACATTTAGCTGTAGTGTTGGGACATTTAGCTGTAGTGTTGGGACATTTAGCTGTAGTGTTGGGACATTTAGCTGTAGTGTTGGGACATTTAGCTGTTTTGTTGGGACATTCGACTGTTTTGTTGGGACATTTAGCTGTTTTGTTGGGACATTTAGCTGTTTTGTTGGGACATTTAGCTGTAGTGTTGGGACATTTAGCTGTAGTGTTGGGACATTTAGCTGTAGTGTTGGGACATTTACCTGTAGTGTTGGGACATTTAGCTGTACTGTTAGGACATTTGGCTGTAGTGTTGGGACATTCAGCTGTAGTGTTGGGACATTCAGCTGTAGTTTTGGGACATTTAGCTGTAGTTTTGGGACATTTAGCTGTAGTGTTGGGACATTTAGCTGTAGTTTTGGGACATTCAGCTGTAGTGTTGGGACATTTAGCTGTAGTTTTGGGACATTTAGCTGTAGTTTTGGGACATTTAGCTGTAGTTTTGGGACATTTAGCTGTAGTGTTGGGACATTCGGCTGTTTGTTGGGACATTCGGCTGTTTGTTGGGACATTTAGCTGTAGTGTTGGGACCTTTGGCTGTTTAGTTGGATGTTAGGCTGAATGCTCCGGGACCTTCGGCTGCGTCTGTATTCTCAGAGACACAGCATCAGAACAGGGCGCGTTCTCTCTGCGAGCCGAAGTTGGTCCACTTGAAAGGGAATGCTGCCTGCCGGCGTGTTTGTGTTTCCTTTTTGTTACAGAGGGCCGTGTTTCGTAATAACAGATCGCTGCAGGAAAAGAAGGCATGAGAGAGAGCACGAGAGCTCTGAAACAATATATCATCTGTCACAGACGAAACTCAAACAGAGTTCAATCGGCCATTTTGTCCCTGGAGGTTGTTATGGGTGAATTATGAGTAGATCTGCTTCGGTTGTTGAAGCATATCATTACTGAAAAAACAAAAAAAAAACAAAATGAATGTTAGAAAGCCTCAAGTGTGGGCACTAAAATATCTATCTGAACATGACATGTAATGTTTAAACTAACGTAGACACCATAGACAATACTAAAGTACTTCAGAGACTGATGATGACTTCCTGTTTCTTTTCTTCTGATGGATTTAAAGGTTAAACTCTCAGACTGCTTGAAATTAAATGAAACTTCGTGTTAAAAAGTCACAAATGTTATCACAAAAATCAAATCAAATAAGGGTTGACAGCAGGGAGACTGGTCCGGTCCAATATCAAGGTCCCTGACCCCCAGACCTAGAACTGGACCTTGGGATCCAGCAGATTAGCTTCAGGTTAAAGTTGATGTCTGAACAGATCCTTCAACTGGGTGAAGATGTTGGTTATTGCAGTGCTGCAAGTCTTTGTTGTGGCAGTGCAGTGAAACCAAAACAAGTCTTTGTCATTGCAGTGCAATGAGTCTGATGTTGGAGTCTTTGATGTTGCAGTGAGTCGTCGTTGGTGCAGTGTCTTTGTTGGTGCAGTCAATCTTTGTTGGTGCAGTGAGTCTTTGTTGGTGCAGTCAGTCTTTGTTGGTGCAATGAGTCTTTGGTGCAATGAGCCTTGTTGGTGCAGTGAGTCTTTGTTGGTGCAGTGAGTATTTGTTGGTGCAGTGAGTCTTTGTTGGTGCAGTGAGTCTTTGTTGGTGCAGTGAGTCTTTGTTGGTGCAGTGAGTCTTTGTTGGTGCAGTGAGTCGTTGTTGGTGCAGTGAGTCGTTGTTGTTGCAGTGAGTCGTTGTTGTTGCAGTGAGTCGTTGTTGTTGCAGTGAGTCGTTGTTGTTGCAGTGAGTCTTTGTTGGTGCAGTGAGTCTTTGTTGGTGCAGTGAGTCTTTGTTGGTGCAGTGTCTTTGTTGATGCAGTCAATCTTTGTTGGTGCAGTGAGTCTTTGTTGGTGCAGTGAGTCTTTGTTGGTGCAGTGAGTCTTTGTTGGTGCAGTGAGTCTTTGTTGTTGCAGTGAGTCTTTGTTGGTGCAGTGAGTCTTTGTTGGCGCAGTGAGTCTTTGTTGGTGCAGTGTGTGCTGTGAGTTGACACAGACCTGTAATCCTTATTAAATTTGAGGTAAAGTCTGAATTTAATAGAAATTCTGTATCTGTAACCTTAACTTACTGCTTTAACTTMCTCTCAGGCAACTGTCTGATAACTGTGCTGCTCCATTCACTATGTCACCTCTCTGGCCTGTTGGCTCTCCTTCTAGATGCACCGTGTCTTTACAAATCAAATCATTTTCAAACCCACCACTGCTCTGCAGACACTGAGACTGTACTGAAGCTTTTACATCGAGGCTCCTATAACTTATTGTGAAAGGGTGTGGTCTCACATACTTCATCCTCTCTCACACGTACGATTTATTTAACTTTGTATTCATCTGGGAGTGATAGACAGCAGGATCCCACATCCCTCCAACCGCTGCAGCCAGAAACAAAAACTCTCCCTTTCTGTCGTAAAACACTTTAAACGACCCAGTTCTGTTTCTGGCAGAGAGGTTTTTTGGCGAGTGGGCTTCAAATTTATCTAAATATGACACAGCGGGGGGAGAAGAGGTGGACACCTGGTGTGTGTATGCAGAATGGAAAATATGGGATCCCCCCCCCCCCTCCTCCTCTCTCTACAGTACCGGGTTGGGTTTCAGCTGCACAAACTGCAGAGGTGAAGTCATCGGGTGGTGCGGAGTGAAGAAACGCAGAGGAAGGTACGCAGCCGTGCATTCACTGCAGCGCTCAGAAACAACCGACTCGAGCTGAAAAGAAGTTCGAGTCTCACAAACTTTGAGGTTTTACCTGAAAATGTTGAGTGTTCCAGGTGTCTCTGGTCCTGCTGCTGGTTTATTTGAAACCAAAACCCGAGTTTAGTAAGTCACTGAACCGTGAGTGACTCACTGCAGGAAGATGGAGGCTGAACTGTTTGATGAAGGATCGGCTTGTTCAGTTAGAACCTTTTTTTATTTAATCCGCTGCAGCCTTTCTTTGCTCAGGAGTTTGTCAGAAAAGTCCAGAGAAGAACCTGTTGTGAAGAATTGATAAACTGTCACTTTGAATCATATTTTGTGTTTTAATTCAGTTGTAGTTCAGGCCTGAATCAAGGGTTAAAGGTCGACACAATTATGTTTAAAATGTTCACTGGTGGGCAGCGTTAATCTAAAAACTAGCTCTGCAATTTCGAAAGTGCTAATGCCATATAAAAACTAGCAGAAGCTAATTTTAAAGCGCAAGTTCAATTTGACACTTACTAGCTGACAACAATTCATGTACAATATATGCACAACACTGCCGACTAGCGGTTTATAAGCTCTTTTACAACTTAATCCTACAACCGTTGATTGCTGGGGATGTGATTTCCTGAAACAGACCTTTTAGCTCCTGGTGTAAAAAATAAAAAGTTGTTG